CTCTGGTATTTGAGGAGCTGCGTGTGTAAGCCAAAATGCTGCGTAATGCTTTATGACTGGAAGCAGACCCAGTATTCCTGATAACAGTCCAGTGTTAAGTGTTGCTATTAACCCTTCAGGAGGAACTGAATTAAAACTGGTGAATTTGTATTAGTGTCGGACAACATCCGATTTGTTGCTATGCAAATCATACCCCCAGACAGTAAAGTGTCAAGTTGGACTAAATAAATGCACAACCCGAGCCTCCGTTAGTTCGCCAACAACACATAAAATAAAGTTTACTAAGATAAACAAAGATAGTCGCCATTCTTCCGAAGTTTCTTTACAATTATCCACTTCTAGAACAGTTTGGTTGCCTTAACTTTTTAACGAGCACAAGATCGTTTGCCAAAAACTGATTTCCAGTGTTGCCGTGTGTGTTTTTTTGGGGGTTTTTTTTATGTGTGATGTCTTTACTTATATTGGTAAGTAGATTTTAGTGAACAGGATTTACGGGGTTATATATAAAATTTTAAAATGACCTGTTTTTTAAGTATCTTTATGACTCTGCGTTATTGTACCAACATTAAAACCAATCCAGTCCCCTTTTGGCCACTAAAAATATCTTTATGGAACTATTGTTATATAGTTGCAATTTCTACTATCCTCTTAGTCACTTTGTCAAAAACTGAGTGCGGCTTCTAGCTTGTGATACCAATGTTGTTTTGTGGGGATACATTTGATATGCTTCGCTGTTTAAAGGCCAAAAGTTTATTCATGGCAGTTTAAATACTTGTAATTACTTTTTGGCAAATGCCAGAAATCAGTTTTTGGCAGACGATCACTTTTTGGCACATCGGTAGCCTACGCCCACTTACACACACATGCAGCGTAATGATTGTTTACGCAGGCAAGCTTGACCTTCAAAATAAAAGCACAATAATTTGAACTAAATAAAATAACAAATAACAAATTCCACTTTAATATGGTCATTGGTTTACTGAAACCCACAATTGCTCCTATCGCATCCACCGTGATGAGTGC